ACTAAGGCAGCTAGAAAACTGCGGTTTGTTGCATTGAAAATAGCGTAGCATCTACCATATGAATCGGTAAAAAAGTAAAAGTCGATTTTTTTCAACCCAAATGCCGACGGCAAATCACCCACGAATTTGCCAATTGCATACTACATATTTGCATAACTTTCACTTTTTAGATTCACAAAATTGTATCTCACATACATATGCATGTACACAATATGTACATATTACATATTTCGACCTATGCATGCATTTAATTTAAATAATTAACCAATTTAAAGAACAATAAAAGCGTTGTAAAAACGTAAAAAGCCATCAGCATTTCGCGTCTAACAAGAAAAACATGCATTTGCTTTGATGAGACAATTTCTGTTAAATTTATTTTGCCCCTGGCTGGGCTCTGTTAAAATTCGATTGTCTCTGGCTGGCCGCTCTTAAAATGCGCTTCGCCAGTTTTGTTGGTATTTGACAGTTTCTACGCTGATTCGTTCTTGGACCTTCTCTATAAATATACGTTCTGAACTATGCATCTTGCTGTGAATACGCCATGTTCAACTTCTTGTGATTCTACAAAAAGTGGATCTGGCGAATTGCCAAAATTGAAAATTCGATAAATATCGCATCTGGGTGGTATGATACAAGGGACTTTTTCATTGCCGACCCAGAAGGATATACAAATGCTTGCATAGCTAATAACGCATTTGTTACCTTTCAGAAAATCTTTACCCAGTATACCATCAGATGGTATGTTAAAATCGTTGTTTACTACATGTAAAGTATGTTTAATGTATAAATCAGTAAAAGTCAAGTTTACGGTAATCGTACCTAAAGTAGAAACAGTATTAGATGTGACACCGGTAATGTTAATTATATCGTTTGTATTTATAGGAAAATGTTTATCAATGCTACAGTTTTTTATTAGAGAAATGTCGGCTTACGTGTCGACTAAAACCGTACAAAATTTGTTTGACCCATTAATTTTCAATTCGATAAAGTCAGAGTAATTCAAATGTAAGCAACAAATGCCTTTTGTCGAAAAAGATTTTATTAATTGTCCAATTCTTCCGCCCTCAGTGTTCGCTCCTGAGGGGCGTGGGCGTTTAAAGCGCGCACATTAGCATTATTGCGTGAATTTGGACGTCTACTACTATTATTGTTGCTGTTATTATTTCGATTATTGTTGTTTGATGACCGATTAATATCATTGTTGAAATTGTTACCGTTATACCTTGAACCGTAATTGTTGTACCTACTGTTATTACCGTTATTATTGTACCTACTGAAATTCGAATTATTTTGTCTGAGATTGTTATTGTTGTACCGATTGAAGTTGTGACCTCTGAAGCTACCTCTAAAAATATTTGGCCTATTTACTCTGGATCGAAACGCTAACACTTGACGCTCTTTCACTTGATTATTTTGTTCGACTATCATTTTTGCCACTACGTCTTTTGAATCACTGACGGTAGTTGACGATAAAATTGATTTGACCAAATCCGACCGAGTATTAAGTCTACAAACGTTAACTGTTTGCTCGACTGCCATTTCATGGGCCTTAGATTGTGTCATACCTTCAATGATCAAAGAACGCTCTAATGCATCCGAAAATTCCTCGACACGCTTAGCAAATTCCGTATAATTGTTATTTGTGACATGTAAAGATGCAATTTTCCCAGCTACAACTTTCGAGTTGTCTGGCTTTATTCTGTTTCTCAACGCATCTTTTATTTGTCGGACTGAATTGACTTCTGTTGGAATTGCTTCACGTGCCTTGCCTTCGAGCTTGGATTTCAAAAATGATATAAAAGTTGTATTTAAATTTTCGTCTGCAAAATCTCCAATCAAATTAATTTTATCGATAAATGATTGAAGTGCTAGCGGATCGCCATTGTAATTTTCGCTAATGTTTGAGGCACAAAGACTAATAAAGGATTTCTTCTGTTCAAGGGTACCCATGTCTAAAAATTCTTTAAAAATAGTCGAAATATTTGGCGAACTGGTAGCTGTTGACGGCTCGTCGGATACAGTTAGCAGATCTTTAAATGATGGAAGTGAAGTTCTTCTTTTAAGACTGAATTGTACCGAAGCTTCTGACTTGGCGTCACTAAACTCTTCTTCTGACTCAGAGTAAACTAAGTCTGATTGGCGAATTAGCGATAAGCTATCCGGTGGAATCCTAACGCGCCAATTCAGTTTAGTAAAGCACTTTGCTAACTGTTCCTTACAAAGGGCTAACTTAACTTGAACTTCCTTGAGATTACAGGTATGAGCCAAACTATTGCCAATAACTAGTAGCAAAATATTATTGTAAGCTGTGATAAGCGAATATTTGTAGTCGTTTATTTTTTCGCATTCGTAGACAACGGTCTATTTTGTAAAATGCGCTTAGTAATCTTATCAAAATCTGCTTTATATGCATTAAATTCTATATCGAATTCGCTCATAACCGGCTAATCTTAAAGAAGTGGAGGCCCAAACTTACAAAACAAGCTATCGCTCCCCATGTTCAAATAAAAATCTCAAGAAGAAATAGAATTGTGAAAAATACTTATGTTTTTCTCAGTATATGGTAAAAAGTAGTAAAGTAGGTATGCTGAATTAAAGTTTGGTATTTTGAATAGAAAGCAGGGGAAAATAGAATCGATAAAAATTTAGCAAGAACTGTATTAAGTCACTTATACCTAGGTGGATACATTAATCATTTTAGTTATAAAACTTTCTCAAACCTGAAAATTTAATTTTTATAAAAAAAAGAAAAATTTGCCATTGGGTATATCACCTCATTTAATTCAAGTTGGCATTATGAATATGTATAAATGGATCAGTCACATCTTGAAATATTTGTTAAAATTATTGAATAATGAAAATGAATTTGAAAAAGGGGTTGAATCCCTCACGCCACTTACAGCTAAATAATGAAAGATAAAAAAAAATTTGAATAAAGTTGAAAAATATGTTTAATACCTCAAATCACTTAAAACTAAATATTGAGAATGAATTCGAAAGTGGCTTTAAAGCCTTGAATCATTAAAGCTAAGTATTGAAAAATGAATTTGGAAAAAGGAAATTTAAGTAAAGGAATGAGCCACTGTATTACAGTATTAAAATATGCCTGACTAAGTACATATGTATAGTATATGAAATTAAACTTAAACGAACCACCCGCTGCTTGGCTCCCTCGCTGCCGTCTCATTCATCGCCTTAGTCTGCTTCTTCCCAAAACGTACGTTTGAAATTTTGGTGTTGTTGTCTTGTGGTTTGTTGAGTTCGTATTCTTTTGCAACTGCACAACTGTATTTTTGGTGTCGTGGCGTTCGTTAGCACATAGCGGTTTATAGCGGTGCTGTATCGCTTCTTTGTTTGGCGTCAGTCGCTGTAATACATATACGTAACGGTGTATGCTGCTGTTGTAGGTGTGCAGTTGGTTGGTTGGTTGTAGTGCTACCTAAGCTATCGCTCAGGAAACAATTAGCGCATAAAAGCGCCATTTTGGTGCACTTCTCGTGGACAATGATATTTTATTATGCCGTAGCCTACCTGTCAGAACATTCCAGCGGTTCAGTCAAACCATTTAGAACCGCTTGTAAATTTGTATAAGTCGCCTATTGTAGCACTAGATAGATCCGTTAACTGCTCCACTATGTGTTTCCCGAAAGATTTATGTCTTAAGTAAACCAGGCCTGGGCATTCACACAGGAAATGAAATACTGTTTCTTCGCTGCCATTCAAGCCGCAGCTGCGGCATATTCTGTTGTATGGAAGACCTATTCTACATGCATGTTTTCCTAGCGGCCAGTGACCGGTGATAGTCGATACAATTCTAAATACTTCTACTCTTGACCTACTTAGCAGTTCTGCTGTTCTTTCCCTGCTAAAGTCAGGCCAAAGCTCTCGTGCTATCTTGCAAGTCTGAATCTCTGACCACCTCCTCCTTGCCAGTTTCAGAAGGTGCAAGTGGATTTCTGTTTGTATTTGTCTGAGGGGATAACCCTGTATCACCGCTACAGATTCATCCAAACAAGCTCCCGCCCTGGCCAGTTCGTCTGCTCTCTCGTTGCCTTCAATGTTCCTATGGCCGGGAACCCAGACAAGAGAGATGGACATTGACTGAGACGCTGAGCGTAACTCCATCTTGCATTCCTTGACTAGCTTGGACTTGGTTACAGTGGATGATATAGCCAGGAGTGCTGCCTGGCTATCCGAGTAAATAACCGCTCTTTCTTTCCTAGTAGCGCTATTCCTTAGTATTCTACAGGCTTCACAAATGCCCAGAACTTCAGCTTGAAATATGCTAGCATGGTTTTCCAGCCGGAGGGACCTATTGACACCAAGCTCCTCGGAATATACCCCTGTCCCTACACCGCAGTCCATCTTGGACCCGTCAGTGTAGATACAGATGGCTTCCCTATCGGCAGCTTGGCCCCTTTTCCATTCCCTTCTGGATGGAAACCGCACTTGTACATTCAAGCCAAAATCGAGGGTTGATACCATATAGTCCGTGGTTTTATTTCCTATCGAAGTGAGGCCTAAGATTGAGCTATGCCCAAAGGTTCTCGATCCCCACAGCCCCGACTCTCTGAGTCTTAATGCTGAGTACATCGCGGCTTCCTTTAGGCATAGATCAATGGGCATCATATTGAGGATTACATTCAGTGCTTCTGAAGGGCAGGATTTCAGTGCCCCAGTTGTCCCCGAGCATGCCGCTCTTTGTAAGCTATTTAGTTTGCTGACATTGTATTGTTTGTCTAAGGCAGGCCACCACACTAGGGCGCCGTAGGTTAGGATCGGCCTTATGATAGCGGTGTACATCCACATCACAAGTTTCGGTTTTAAACCCCAGTTTCTATTGAAGATCCGTTTACAAGTATAATAAGCGATGTAGGCCCTCTCTTTACGTTTCTCAACGTTAAGTTTCCAGTTTAGTTTGGTGTCTAGAATTACTTCCAGATATTTTGCGTTGGACGATAGGGGGATTGTCTTCCCGCCTATGGATGGAAGTCTAAATTGTGGTATCTTATACTTATTAGTAACCAGTAACAACTCAGTTTTGTCTGGATTTACGTTAAGGCCACTGCCTTTAGCCCACGTGTGTAGTCTACCCAGCGCTTTTCCTAGAATTTCACTTACAGTAGAGAGAAAAGGTCCTGTGACTGCTATCACTACGTCGTCAGCATACGCCACTACTTTAACTCCACCTCTGTTGAGTTCTAGCAGTATGCTGTTTAGTGCTACAACCCACAACAGTGGGGAGAGTATACCACCCTGGGGAGTACCTCTACGCACATATCTAGTTATTAGACTATCTCCGCTTTTCGCCTGAATAATTCTGCTTTCTAGCATGGAGCGTACCCAGTCAACCACACCGCCGTCAACACCAACCCCCATGAGTGATTAGATGATGGTGTCAACTTCAATGTTGTTGAAGGCGCCCTCGATATCCAGGAAAGCGGCTAAAGTGTATTGGTTGAAGCGCAGTAATTTTTCTATGAGCCCCACCACTTCGTGCAAAGCTGACTCCGTCGATTTTCCTTTGATGTAATCATGTTGTGCTGTTGATAGGGATTCTTCCCCCAAGAACGATCTTATATATATATCTATTAGCCTTTCCAGTGCTTTAAGAACAAAGGAAGTTAGGCTTAGAGGTCTAAAGTCTTTCGCTGTTTCGTGGTTCTTCCTACCGGGCTTAGGGATGAACACTACTTTGACACGTCTCCAGCTCTGGGGGACATAGTTCATACTAATACAAGCTCTATAGAGGGTTTCAAGTAGCGGTGCTATGTGCTCCTTTACATTCTGTAACATGGCCGGTATTATACCATCTGGGCCTAGAGATTTAAAGGGAGAGAAACTATTTATTGCATAGATGATCTTTTCTTTGCTTATTATTGTTTCAAGTTCTCTATTTGGTATATATGTGGGTTCTTTCCCATCTGATGCTGCTGCATTCTGTTCACAGCCTGGAAAATGGAATTGAACTAGTGTTTCTAAAGACTCGTCCGTGGAGTTTGTCCATACATCATTTACATTTTTTATAAATGAGGGTTTAGTGTACTCCTTTGAGAGGATCTTACTTAGCCTAGCTGAGTCTCTTACATTTTCTATCGAGGAACAGTAGGTTTGCCAGGACTTGGCCTTTGCTATCCTTAGTTTCTTTTTATATGATTTTAACGCACTTTTGTAGGGCACCCAGTTCTTGGACCCAAAGCACTCGTTAAAAAGTTTTCTAACGTTATTTCTAAGAGCTCTAAGCTCCCCATTCCACCATGGCGGGGATTTCTTTTTTCATGACACTCAGTGGGGTTGATCTTTCATAGGCTTTAGTCATCACCCCCTCTAAGTTGCTTACGATTCGTTCTATCTCATCTATTGAGGTAATATTTTCTACCAGATTAACTTTAGTTAGTTTTCGCGTCAAGACTCTATTGTATTTCTCCCAATTGGTTCTGCGTGGGTTCCTGTATTTAGAGGGGGTGTAGGATACCCCGCGTAGATTGAAGAGTATCCAGCAGTGATCAGACACTGATGGCCTGTCGGAAACTCTCCAGTTCTCAACGGTAACGCCATCGTTCTCAGACAGCAACGTTGGGTCCAACACCTCCTCCCACCCAGGAAACCGGTCTGAACTTGGGAAGATAAAGGTTGGTCGGTTACCAGTATTGCAAATACTCAAACTAGTGTTTAATAAATAGTGTAGAAGTGACTTACCTCGCTCGTTTTCTGTTGTGCTGCCCCAAACTGGATGCCTGGCGTTTGCATCACATCCTATGACAATGGCTCGTCTGGGGTTCCGGTCTACTATAGTTTTGATTTCCGGTGGCGGACTGTCCCGTTCATGGGACATATAAGACGACACTAACAAGACATCCTGTTGTCCTGCCGTCTCCACCTTAGCTACTGTTGTGTCTGCTGTGCTGAAATTAGAGCAAAGGAATGCATTTATACCCTTCTTGATAAGAATACACGCCCGTGGTTTACCAACCTCGCTCTTGTAGAAGAGATTGTAATTGTAGATATTAAGGCCCATTACTTCGTCGTTCCTGACCCAGGGCTCCTGTATTAGGCTAATGTCGATGTCCTCTTCGCTGAGAAGTACGACTAGACTATCTGTAGCACACTTCGAGTTCTGCAGATTTATTTGGACTATCTTACTGGTCCGGTTCATCGCTCAGTTTCACTCCCATAAGGAGTTCGCCTGCACCGTCGACGCCCGGGTCCTCTTCTACTGGGCTGACTTCACCAAGGAATACTCTTACCTTAGCTTTTCTAATACCGAACCGAATCTTATAGTCGGCCTCTGCTAGGGTCTCCAAGGATTCGGAGCAAATCGCTAGGAGAATTGGCTTGTTTGTGGGCTTTCTCGGCTCATCAACTTTGATGAGCTCCCACTCGTCTATTGCTGGTATGTTTTTATTATGCAGCTTTATACACCGCAGCAACTTTTCGCCAGGTTCGGCTATCGGAGGTAACCAAATGCGCGCACGGGGCCTCCTAGGGATGTCCCTGGCTGGTATGAGCTTGAGCTTCAAGCCCTCGAATTCGTCGCAAATCTTTGCTACACACCCAGCGAGGAAGTCCAAGGAGAACTGGTCCGCGCATTTGATGACCCGGTATCCCCTCAGGGATTCCGATGAGTCAAACTCTGGATGAGGGCCTTCGAGGACGTAGTCCATTACGAGACTCGACAGCCTCACATCGATCTCCACCCACCTTTGCTGCACTGCTAGCGGCGTTCTGCTACCTTCGTCAATGATTGAAGTCTGAAGATGGTCTCTTGCAACGTCGCTGAAGTAGCGATGCTTGGTGGATGTTGCGGACTCCGCTACATCCCCCTGCTTCAGTCGTTTGCGGTCAGCTCCGTGGCCATTCTCGTTTTGAGACCTATTTCTTTTTTGGGTTTCGCTGGATCCCATGGTGGCAGTACGTTCTGTTTGGAATTTCTCATACTCTTCCACCATGGCCATATATCTAAGCTTATCTTCCTCATCGCGCTCGTCTACACGTCCGGCTGCTGCATTTCTCTCGATTTTGTCGAGCATGTACAGAGCCTTCTGGTACCGTTGCTTCATGAACGCGTTTGAGGGTTTCCTATGCTTTTGCAGCTGGGTACTGCTGGTACCGGCCGCGTGCTTGCTACATGTTGGTCTTTCTTCCGGTGTACTATGGCTGGCACTACCGGTACTAAAATTTTCTAATTGCAAAACGGCGGTACTATGGCTGGCACCTTCCGTTTTGCTACTGTTTCCCGCTTTTTCCTCTGAGGTGCTATGGCTGGCACCACCAGACGAAATCGTTGTCGGGTTTGTTGGTTTAGCAAGGGATTTCAGGAGCTGTTCTTCCTCCGATAGCGTCACATCTTCCCCAGGCTTTCGTTTTTGTTCTTGCTGTTGTTGTTGTTTTTGTTGTTGTTGTTTTTGTTTGTTTTCTTTATTCATTTGTGGTCCCACGAGTAGTCCGGAAGGGGTTCGTCGCTCGTCCGCAGAGCCGGTATGCATGAAGAAGGCACTTATACAACCGACCTTGCCGGGGCATCGGAGGGGACCGTTCGCGACCAGCCACATTTTACTACCCGCTGGCCATTCATCCATTGGCACGGTGGCCTTCACACCTTGGCTTGGGTAGTGTTGGTGCGGTAATCCCTGCATTGCTCTCCTCAGCGGCTCAAAGCAACGTTTCATCTTGAAGCGTCAAGAAGTGCCGCAGAAGGATGCAATACTGGGCTTCCCTCTTAGTTCATGTTGCCATGGTGCACCCCACACTGTGGGGTATACCATGCCATCATTTAAGCTTACCCGCCACGGCAAGACGACCAACGTTGAGGAAGTGTAGGTGGCAGTAGGGCTCCCCGTTATATCCCGCGTGCCGTTTTTCGCGCCGTTATATATGGTGTTATGCGAGTTATTTCGTACTGTTGTCGTTGGTGATGGCAGGGCTCCCCGTTATGTAAAAAATGCACGGGACGAAAAGGCAGCGCGGATTTGTGTGCGGCGCTATACGGGTGACGTTGTACAGCACCCCGTTATTGCCTACCGCAAAGAAACTCTGCTCGCCACCACCACCAACACTGTGTCACGCCCGATGCCCATTAGACACGCCTGCCATCCAGGGTGTAAAAAAAAATGTTGCCTCATGCTCACCGTCACGGTCGCCATGTTGGGCCCTCTGCCCGCGCATCTAACTAACGCACTACTTTCTTACCCGAAACCTGCTGGAGGGAAGCTGGCTACTCCCAAGAGGTCTTCGCTGAGGGGGCACCAGGAGTCCGGCGGTCTTTTATTGCTGCTGGCTGTTGTTCTGGAGGTTTCGTTGAAGGCTGCTTGCTGCTATCTGGTAGCGCTCTCTGTATTTTTAGCTTACGGCGGATTTTCCTTAACACAATGGGTTTGCTTCTGTCTTTGAAAAACGCCTGAATACAACTTCGCTTTAATAAAACGCGTGTGATTAATTTAGTTCAACTTAATTTTTTTAGTTTTTATTTAGTTAACAAAATTGGCACAACCGGCTGAGTCAAATGCGCGTATCGAATTGAAATTTTCATTCGTTTCTTTTCTCTTTTTATGTACCTGTGGAACGTATGTTCCAACAGGGCTATCAACATTACGGCGGCGCTGAATAGTGCTGGCGTATTGTTAGCGATGCCATTACGCATCTGTCACAGCACGCTTCCAAAAATATCGCGGTTTCTTGTTAATTTCAATTACTCGGTTTAGCACATGATAATAATATTCGATTTCAATAAAGTTATTAAACATCTTTAAATTATTACACTGCATTAAGTTCTTTATGATACTGATGTATCAATTTTGCTGCTACTCGACCAATTTCCTGCATTGGTAAATGATGCAGACATACAGACGGGCTCCCATTTTCATTTACTTTTACGTTTTGCGTTTTCGTAAAAATCGTACCTTTTTATTTTTGGGTGCTCTTGAATTC